GCATCCTTAGACTCCTTGATACAGGTACCCCCCTGGGTGAAGAGAACCCTCTGGTGGTGGAGGAGGTCAGCCAATCTGACCCAGGGGTTGTTATGGGCCTTACCCATCTCCAGGGAAATTGCACGGATGCGAGCACCAGGGGTTGGGGAGCGCACTTAGGGGAGTTTATAGCGCAGGGTTCTTGGCTACCAGAAGAGAGGAAAAGTTCCTCAAACTGGAAAGAACTCAAGGTGGTATCGCGGGCCCTTGTGGCCTTCTGGGAGCAGCTACGGGGCCAGCACATGTGGATGCGAAAGGACGCTGTCTCAGGGTCCGGTCCTGTGTCCCCAGGTAGACAGATGGAACCTAGCAGCCTGGTTTCTGAGGAACAGCTGCTGAGGAGCAAGGGGTTCTCAGCTAGGGTAGTATCCACTCTCCTAAATAGTAGGAAAGAGGAGACCCGTTCTATCCAATTTAAGGTCTATAAAACTTTTTAACAAATTGTGTGCTCAGACTTGCTTGGAAACATATAGCTTAGTTTCAGTCCTGGAATTTTTGCAGGCGGGGCAGACAAGGGGCTAGCAGTGAGTCTCCCTTAGCCTGAGAAGAGCTGGTGGCAAGATTCTTGAAGTCCTAGACCAGACAGAGACCTGTAAGAGACCCTTTCCAAAGAGGAACCTGATTACTGTACTTAATGTGCTGACAGGCCCCCCCGGTTTTCCTGGTAGCAGTTACGACAGCAAGGAGAGTTAATGAGTTGGGAGCCCTCCTTCCTCCAGATTTTTGCAGATAGGGTGACATTTAGGATGGACCCGGCCTTCTTATCCAAGATAGCCTTGGGATTTCATCAAGGCCAAGAAATAACTTTACCTTCATTTTTGTTCTAACCCCTCATGTGACCAGGAAAGGAAATTTCACATGTTGGATGTTAGAAGAAGATGTGTTCTCCTTTATTTAGATATGACTAAAGGGGTCTGGAAGTCGGATTCCCTTTTTGTTTCTTTTTCAGGAGCAAGTAAGGGCTGTAAAACCTCTAGGCGCACTTTAGCTAGATGGCTGAGACTGGCAATTAGACAGGCATATCTGGGTCTGGAAGTCCACCTGGGCAATGGCGGCCACGTACGTGGAGCTGGCTGGTGAACCCCGGGACAGATCTGTAGGGCTGCTACTTGGAAGAGCAGGCCTTTGGATGCAAGGTTCTACAAGTGGTGGTCCTGCCCTAGGGGTGTGCTCACATATCCTCTTAGGGTGCTGTCCTGAAAGACGGGGAGGGGATAAAGCAAAGTTACACTTACGGTAACATCTTTTCCAGGAGTCTTCAAACTGCGCCAGTTACCCACCCTTTGTAGCATTTGGTTATAAGATACGGGGGGGGGGGGTTGTGACTTGTATTTTTGTGTCCCCCCAGGTGACCGGAGGTGCTAGAACGTGAACTGAGGTCGGAGCGGGGAGATCGTACTTTTATTTTGTGTGGAGGTGTTTCCTCAGGTGGGGAGGAGCTGAGGTCTCTCGAGATGCTGTCCTGAAAGACTCTGGAAAAGGCATTACCGTAAGTGTAACTTTGCTTTTATTTTTTATTACATTTTTACAATTTTTGAAATTACATCCTGGCCTCAGAGCAGTGCAGTGTTGCCATAGTAACACTGCACTATTCTAGGGATGTCTTTTTTTCACAACTGCGGATAAATAAGAATGTTACAAGCATGTGATGCTCCTGTAAACTCACCTGGGGCAAGTAACAGGTGTGGGCAATATAGAAATCACACCTGAAAGCAGATAAAAAGGAGAGACGTTCACTTAACCTTTGCATTGTGTGTCTGTCTGTGCCACACTAAGCATGGACAACAGAAAGAGGAGACGAGAACTGTCTGAGGACCTGAGAACCAAAATTGTGGCAAAATATCAACAATCTCAAGGTTACAAGTCCATCTCCAGAGAACTAGATTTGCCTTTGTCCACAGTGCGCAACATTATCAAGAAGTTTTGCAACCCATGGCACTGTAGCTAATCTCCCTGGTCGTGGACGGATGAGGAAAATTGATGAAAGATTGCAACGCAGAATAGTCCGGATGGTGGATAAGCAGCCCCAAACATGTTCCAAAGACATTCAAGCTGTCCTGCAGGCTCAGGGAGCATCAGTGTCAGCGCGAACTATCCGTCGACATTTAAATGAAATGAAACGCTATGGCAGGAGACCCAGGAGGACCCCACTGCTGACACAGAGACATAAAAAAGCAGACTACAGTTTGCCAAAATTGTTCTTGAGTAAGCCAAAAGCCTTCTGGGAAAACGTCTTGTGGACAGATGAGACCAAGATAGAGCTTTTCGGTAAAGCACATCATTCTACTGTTTACCGAAAACGGAATGAGGCCTACAAAGAACAAAACACAGTACCTACGGTAAAATATGGTGGAGGTTCAATGATGTTTTGGGGTTGTTTTGCTGCCTCTGGCACTGGGTGCCTTGACTGTGTGCAAGGCATCATGAAATCTGAGGATTACCAAAGGATTTTGGGTCGCACTGTAGGGCCCAGTGTCAGAAAGCTGGGTTTGCGTCCAAGATCCTGGGTCTTCCAGCAGGACAATGACCCCAAACATACGTCAAAAAAGCACTCAGAAATGGATGGCAAAGAAGCGCTGGAAGAGTTCTGAAGTGGCCAGCAATGAGCCCAGATCTAAATCCCATTGAACACCTGTGGAGAGATCTTAAAATTGCTGTTGGGAAAAGGTGTCCTTCCAATAAGAGAGACCTGGAGCTGTTTGCAAAGGAAGAGTGGTCCAAAATTCCGGGTGAGAGGTGTCAGAAGCTTATTGATTTATAGGAAGCGAACAGTTATGTTTTTCCAAAGGGTGTGCAACCAAATATTAAGTTAAGGGTGCCAATACTTTTGTCCAGCCCATTTTTGGGGTTTTGTGTGACATTATGTCATATTTGCTTTCTGCCTCTGTTTTATATTTGTTCCAATACATACAAAGGGAATAAACTGTGTATAGCAAAACATGTGTTAATGCAATACCTTTTTTGTGTGAAATACTTGATTTTCAGGAAAAATATCAAGGGTGCCAACAATTTCGGCCATGACTGTATAGTACATACACACACACAGGTAAAACTCAAAAAATTAGAATATCGTGCAAAAGTTAATTTATTTCAGTAATGCAACTTAAAAGGTGAAACTAATATATGAGATAGACTCATTACATGCAAAAGCAAGATAGTTCAAGCCGTGATTTGTCAATTGTAATGATTATGGCTTACAGCTCATGAAAAAAACCCAAATCCACAATCTCAGAAAATAGAATATTGTGAAAAGGTGTAATGTTCTAGCTCAAAGTGTCCCACCCTAATCAGCTAATTAAGCCATAACACCTGCAAAGGGTTCTTGAGCCTTTAAATGGTCTCTCAGTCTGGTTCAGTAGGAATCACAATCATGGGAAAGACTGATGAAATGTTGTGCAGAAAACCATCATTGACACCCTCCATAAGGAGGGAAAGCCTCAAAAGGTAATTGCAAAAGAAGTTGGATGTTCCCAAAGTGCTGTATGCACATTAATAGAAAGTTATGTGGATGGGAAAAATTAAAGGAACACTTTGAAAACACATCAGATCTCAATGGGGAAAAATATCGGGAATCTGTACTGATATGGGGACTGGGTTAAACAATGTAAGGATGGCCCATTGTTTAATGGAAATTAAAATTATCAACCTACAGAGGATTGAATTCAAAGACACCCCAAAAATCAAAGAGAAAAAATGATGCAGCAGGCTAGTCCATTTTGCTGAAATTTCATTGCAGCAACTCAAAATGGTACTCAATAGTTTGTATGGTCCCCACGTGCTTGTATGCATGCTTGACAATGTCGGGAATGCTCCTAATGAAACAACGGATGGTGTCCTGGGGTATTTCCTCCCAGATCTGGGCCAGGGCAGTGTTGTTGCACAGGAGGGGAACCCATGACCCACTGCACCAGCGTAGGGTCTGACAATGGGTCCAAGGATTTCATCCCAATACCTAATGGCAGTCAGAGTGCCATGGTCTAGCCTGTAGAGGTCTGTGTGTCCCCCCATGGATATGCCTCCCCAGACCATCACTGACCCACCAAAACGGTCATGCTGAATGATGTTACAGGCAGCATAACATTCTCCATGGCTTCTCCAGACCCTTTCATGTCTGTCACATGTGCTCAGAGTGAACCTGCTCTCATCTGTGCAAAACACAGGGTGCCAGTGGTGGACCTGCCAATTTTGGTGTTCAATGACAAATGCCAGTCGAGCTCTATGGAGCTGGGCAGTGAGCACAAGGCCCACTAGAGGACGTCGAGCCCTCAGGCCACCTCATGAAGTCTGTTTCTGATTGTTTGGTCAGAGATATTCACACCAGTGGCCTGCTAGAGGTAATTTTGTAGGGCTCTGGCAGTGCTCATCCTGTTCCTTCTTGGACAAAGGATACTAGTCCTGCTGATGGGTTAAGGACCTTCTATGGTCCTGTCCAACTCTCCTAGAGTAACTGCCTGTCTCCTAGAATTTCCTCCATGTTCTTGAGACTGTGCTAGGAGACACAGCACACCTTCTGGCAATGTCACGTATTGATGTGCTATCCTGGAGGAGTTGGACTGCCTGTGCAACCTCTGTAGGGTCCAGGTATCGCCTCATGCTACCAGTAGTGACACTGACCCTAGCCAAATGCAAAACTAGTGAAAAGCAGTCAGAAAAAATAAGTAGGGAAAAAAATGTCAGTGGCCTCCACCTGTAAAACCATTTCTGTTTTGGGGGTCGTCTCAGTGTTACCCATCTAGTGCACCTGTTGTTAATTTCATTAACACCAAAGTGGCTGAAAATGATTAACCACCTCCCGTCCGGCCGTTGTATATAAATCCGATCCGGTGCCCGCTTTGTCCTCTGGTTACAGTGGAACACCGATTGTCATACGGGACCTCGGTGCGAGGTCCCGATCATGTGATTGGCCAATCAGTGACATGCGGAGTAGTAAGCAAGATGTCACTTCTGACATCATTGCTTACTACGTGTGAAATCTGTGAATGATCACAGAGGTCACATGGTACAAGGCTATTCACAACAGCCTTGTACCATGTGACAAGCTGTGACCAATCACAGCTCACACAGTAGTTCTCAATGGCTGCAAGAGTGCAGCCAGAGAGAAGGAGAAATGATTGTTTTTACAGCCTTTATGGGAGTAAAAGCAATCAGTGTAAAAAAAAAAAAAAAATCTTCATCACTCCCCACAAGTAGAATAGTGTCACCATGGTGACACTGTACTGCTAGGGTGACAGTATGTGTAAAAAAAAAAAAAAAAAACAACCCCACAAATAATATAAAAAAATAAAATAAAAATGTAAAAAAAAGTTTAAAATTATAATTTTTGGTTATAAACTAATTTTTTTTTTTACTAAAAAGATAACAAAATAAAAATTTGGCCAAGATTTATGATGAAATATTTATTTGCTAAATTTTATAAGAAAAAAACTTTTTTTTTCAAAATTTTTGGACTTTTTCATTTACATAGCAAAAAAAAATAAAAATCCCAGTGGTGAATAAATACCACCAAAATAAAGCTTTATCGGTCTCAAAAAAAGGCTAAAAAATTCATATGGGTACAGTGTTGCATGACCGCGCAATTGTCATTCAAAATGTGTGATAGCACTGAAAGCTGAAAACAGGACAGGAAGGGGATAAAAGTGTCTGGACTTGAAGTGCTTAACAACCCCCTCTGCTATGACCAGATCAATATCCCAGGAGTTTAATTGACTTGATGCTATACTCTGATTAAAAAGTGTTCTTTTGGCTGTGTGAACAATAATTTCTTACACTTCTTGGCTGCATTCCTGCAGCCATTGAGAATTCTGCGATAAGCTGTGATTGGCTTACAACCAGGGTGGATAAAAATCAATGATTATTTTTTTATTTAAATCAGATTTTTTTATTTAAATCGGATTTTTTTTTAATAAAATGGTTTTTGAGGAAAATATATTACCATCCAAAGGTTATTCCATCATGAAATAAAGATTCGTTTTTTAATTATGTAGAATAAGGCTGTATATGTTTAATTTTTTTGGTAAATAAATTCCATTAATCCATTCACAATGTCATGCTCTTCCAGAGGTTTTTGTAAGATTATTGGGCAGTTTCTCTGCCTACAAGATATTATCACAGATGCTTGGTTTACTTTTGCAGTTCTCAAAACTGAATTTGACTCAGCGGAGATCACATGCCTCTTCTTCACAGCAAAAATGTTATAACATGAACAGAGTTAAGAAAAAGACCTTAATCCTAACTTCTACAAACCTATGAATACAGAATCAACCCCTTCAGTGCTAAATTTCAAGAAGTTCAGTGAATAGAATAGAAACAATATTTTTCTGATTGTTTGGAGTAGAATAGATCTGCACAAGAAGAAAGTGAAACTAAGTGTGAGGAGGAAGGGGCTGACAATCTAAGTTTCTTAAAATATATATATAGTGTTTAGCCAAATTAGTTAACAAACATGGATGTTTGTTTAAGCAAATAACGTATGCTGTAATGTTATTGTTTCAGATGAATAAATCTATTTAAATTGTTATTATTAAGGTAATGATTATTTTTCTCCTTCCTAAGTACAACAGAAAAGTTGTCCAAATATGAATGATTAACATATTAAAGTGGGGATAAAAAAACTAATATGAAAAGTTGTTATTCTAAAAATCTTCATCTACTTGCATATTAAAGTTATACCAGCAAGAATTAGTCTACAGTTGTGGCCAAAATTATGATTTAACCCCCCACTGAAATTGAGTGTTTTGGCCAGTTTGACATTGCTTTTGATTTCAATCATCTTGCTTACATTTACATTAAAGAGGCACTTGATTATAACATAACAGTTATAATGAAATAACCACAAATGTCTTTTCTGTGCTCACAGCATTATCAGTTTTATTCAACCCCAAGTGACATTCAATCTTAGTATTAGTACAGCATCCTTTTACAGTTATAAACAGCTTTTAAACGTGAAGCATAGCTTGACACAAGTGTCTTGCAGCGATCTACGGGTATCTTCGCCCATTCTTCATGGGCAAAGGCCTCCAGTTCAGTCACATTCTTAGGCTTGCGCACTGCAACTCTTTCTTAAGTCCCACCAGAGGTTCTCAATCGGATTTAAGTCTGGTGACTGCGATGGCCACATCCAAAATGTTCCAGCCTTTCCTCTGCAACCATGCTCTAGTGGACTTGGAGGTATGCTGGGATCATTGTCCTGTTTAAGGTCCAAATCGAAGCCAGAGGTGTGTGAACGGACTGCAGTCACATTTCCATCCAATATCTCCTGGTACTGAAGAGAATTCATGGTACCTTGCACACGCTGAAGCTTCCCTGTAATGCAGAAGCAAAAAGCAACCCCAAAAGCATGATTGACCCTCCACCATGCTTCACAGTAGGCAAGGTGGGTTTTTCATCATAGGCCTTGTTCTTCCTGAAAACATAGCGTTGATCCATGGGCCCAAACAGTTCTAATTTTGTTTTCATCAGTCCACAGAAAACTATCCCACAACTTTTGTGGTTTGTCCACATGGCTTTTGGCATACTGCACATCGACTCTTCTTATTCTTTGGAGACAGCAAGGGGGTACGCCTGGGAGTTCTGGCACGGAGGCCTTCATTACGCAGTGTGAGCGTTTTATTGTCTGGGCTGAAACTTCTGTACCCACATCTGACAAATCTTTTCTCAGTTCCTCAGCAGTCAAACGGGGACTTTCTCCACTCTACGTTCAGGTAAGCACAGCAGTCGAAGTCAGCATCTTCTTTCTGCCACTAGGTAGCGTTTTAACAGTGCCCTTTGCCTTGAATTTGCGATGAATGCTTCCTAAGGTCTCTCTTGGTATGTTTAACATCTTTGCAATTATTATAGCCATTGCCCTTCCTGTGAAGAGAAATCACCTCTTTTCTTGTCCCATTCTCTTGCCTTCAGTTTGTAACCACAGAGTAAAGTCTAGAAGGAGCTGAGTATCACAATTTTAAAGCTGCCTAATTGGTGCTTATTATGCTTGATTTGCTGCTCGGGGACATCCACAAAAATACCTGATGGAAAGCACCTGTATGAACCTCTGTTCTTCAGAGTGGTAGTCTTTAAGGGGTTGAATAATTGTGGCAATGAAGAAACCACATAAGAACCATTTACTACTGTATTACATAAACAAATCTTCATGTCATTTACTTGCATTTGGGTAGTTACAACGTCCTTGTAGGATTTGATTCTGAATACAATTCCAAAATGGTACACTATAGTCCTAAACCCCTTTACAGCATTGGGGGTTGAATAATTTTGGCCACAACTGTATGTAGAAAACTATGATTTAAATCAAGCCTTATTGACTAGTGATTTAAATCAGTTTGATTTAAATCAAATCCACCCTGCTTACAACTATCACATAGTACAAGGAGGCAGTGCTTGACCCTGTACCATGTGATCACTGTGACAAATCACAGGGCTCACAGTAGTTCTGAATGGCTGTATGAATGGCAGCCTTCTTTACTACTGGGCCTATGATAGGTCACAGCGAACACATGGTTCCACCGCTCGATACTCAGATCGGTGGACACTGCGTTCATGCAATCATTCCAGTGCACACCCCTGGGGACACGCAGGAGGCGCAGATCTGGGAGGAAGTACGGGTATGTTCCCCTGGATTGGCGCTTGTCCCACCCAGCTGTTTATGCACAGTGGCCAGGTGGAAAGTGGTTAAGGTAAAAACCTTCAGCCTTTGGATCCACTTTTAAGCACAAATTTGTTATATGGGTTTTTCTCTAAGAACAGTCAACACAGTTTGGATCCCTAAGTCATGCGGAATACTTGAATAAAGAGCTTCTATGCTTTTTGTAACCAGCAGAGTGTCAGGAGGGACCAGCATCCCCTCTACTGTTTTTAGAAGCTCTATTCTTTCCTTAGTATATGGCAGTAAGCGGCTAACATGAGGCCCTAGATAATCATTTACCACCAGGTGGCTTGCATCGGCCATTTTGTAGCCCACTCCTGAGAAGATAGGTCTTCCTGAGGGCATTTGTAAGTTCTTATGTACTTTAGGTAATACATAGAATGTAAGAGTTTCTGGATACTTATTTTTTTTTATCAATGAATGCTTAATTAACACCTCATACAATTCTTGAAAATTCTGTCTGGAATTCACTAAGTTTGTCAAGAGAAAGCTTTCTATACCAGTCTTTAGATTTTAAAATATAAGTTCACCTTTTGCACAAAAATAATAAATGCACTTTTTTTTGCAGGTAAAAAAATGTGCATTTATTATTTTTAGCTGCAGGAGCCTGTAAAACATTGTACCAGCGAACAGTAGATTGCTGGTGCCATGCAGGTCTCCTGCAGATGTCAGTATATCTGCTTGCTCGTACAGGATGTATGAGCAAGCAGATATACTGACAGGAAGATTCCGTTAACTACCACAGCACTCCACAGTGCCGTGATAGTCCATTGAAACCTACAAGCCGCTAAGGCTGTCGGAACTTGTAGTGCATTAATTCACGGAACTCTGAGAATTAAAGATACGCCCATTTGGGTGGAGCCCTGCATGCTTGTGCTGTTTTTAAATCTAACACAGTACAGGGAGACAGTGGGCAGCAGCAGCAGCATTGGGAACACATAACATGTTCCACCCTAAAAACAGGTTACTCATGATCCATAAGTTTCCCCCTTTATCCGTCTGCTTAACTGTAATATTTTTTTTTTTTGCAAATTATTTGCAAGCCTGGGATTGGGGCTTGGTTAGATTACCAAAGTCATGTTCAAATATCGGCAATTTCTTATCACTTTTAATGCTGGGAGGTTAAATCTTTTCTTTTCACATTGACCTCCTTAGGGGTAACTCACTTCTACTAGAAATTGGTCAGCCAGCTGTTCAGAGTCCTCAATCTCTTCTCTAAGGTCTGGGCTAAAGGATATTTCCTTCTAATGATTTAAAGTGATTGTAAAGGCAGATTGTTTTATTTCTTTAACATAACAAATATGTCATACTTACCTGTTTTTTGCAATGGTTCACAAAGAGCAGCCTCGCTCCTCCTCTTCTGTGGTCCCACGCCAGTACTCCTGGTTCCTCCGTCCTTGTACTCTCTCCCAAGCCAACTCTGTGAGTCAGTCTATAGGACACACAGGGCCTGGCTCGGTCCCACCCCCATTCCCTCCACACTAGCTGTGATTGACAGCAGCTGGGACTAATGGCTCCTGTTGCTGTGTCCAAGCCAATGAGGAGAGAGAGCTACTGCTCTTGTGCACATCCCTGAACTGAGATCAAGCTCAGGAAAGTACTTGGGGGGAGCTGCATGCAGATTGTTTTTTTTTTTTTCCTTAATGCATAGAATGCTTTCAGGTACAAAAAAAAACCTTCTGCTTTTTGAACCACTTTAGGTAAATCCTTTAGTGCATTAAAGTCCTGGATGCAGAAATTTCTCCATTCCTGCATATTTTCCCGCATCTTGAGTGAATTTGGTGTCTGATGTAATACTTTTAATGTCAAATTTCAAGCAATTAAATGTACACTTTGTATATCTTTGTGTAACCTGGACTGTACTGATAACACTGTTCAACAGGTAAAAAGTTTTGGGCATAAAATTAGCTAATCTTACATAATTTTGGGGTGCTGAAAACGAAAATGACCCTAAAAAATGTTGATTGGCTCTAGTTTCCATGATATATTCACCCATCTAATGACGTAAGCCATTCAAAATTATGATGCAACTTCAGCTGCATATTGCGCAATTGATACTGGTGACCAATAGAAAATTGCATGTATACTGAGATGATGCAATATTAGCCTTTAATTGCATCACTTCACTGCATAAAAGCTGCAGTATCTGTAGCTGATTGTAGTTCGACAGCGTCTTTACATTTCGTTTTATGCTTATATAGGCTACTCAGTAATGCCTCGAACTTGTGTGAATAAAGCAGATAATTTCTGCTATATCTGCGGTGAAATAACGTTTATCTCACAAAAAAGGAGGATAACAGGAATGATTAAGAAAGCCTACAACTTGTATTTTGGCTGCAAGATAGGAGACCAGGACAAGAGCTGGGCACCACATATATGCTGCAATTCTTGTGGGACGGCACTGGAGCAATGGTTGAATGGAAAAAAGGCATCTATGCCTTTCGCTGTGCCAATGATTTGGAGAGAGCCAACAGATCATGTTAGTAATTGTTACTTTTGTATGGTGCCTCCAATTGTAAAAGGGCTAAATAAGAAGAAAAAGTTATCTGTGCACTATCCAAATATTCCATCGGCAATATGTCCAGTTCCTCATGGAGAGGGGCTACCAATTCCTAAAGCACCAGAATCCTTCGTGGTTGAGTCAAGTGAGGAAGAACCTGAAGCATGTAGTCACGTGCAGTTGTAAGAGATAGCCCTTTCCTCGAATACAAGAGAAAAGCCAAGAGAAGCAAAACCGACACAAACTGAAGACAAAACTAGTGAGAATCCTAAGTATTAAAATGATTCAACTTAGCTTATGGCTATAATTTTTCTTGGTAATCCTATGCAATATATTATGCCATTTAGGCTTTGTTATGTAGTCAATATCACTTGCTTTATATTTGTGGAAAGACATCTATCTATATAATTATTGTGCATTATGTAGTCATTACGCCTATAGTAGAAAACTTTCCGTTTACAGAAAAACTAGAGCCAATTGACAAATTTCATTGTTATATTTGAACTCAGAATGTGAAATTCATTAAGAAATGGATCCTTTTGTTTCCAAAACTGGCAAAAAATAAAAATTTGTTGAACAGTGTAATTGCTGTGGAACTTTTTTGATGCTGCTGTATTATCCTTCTGCAATGTGGACGGGCTTAAATTTAATATTCATTAACACAGAAGTGAAGGATCCACCTTTAAGGAGACCACTTTGCAATGCTCATCTATGGAGTTTCTCCAGGACTGGGGACAGCCATCTTAGACAGGGATTGGCTAATGCAACAAAAAGGAGAAGTGTAGTGTGGAGGCTGCAGAGAAGAAAGCAGAATTTGCACCACAAGGATGCTGTGAAGGGGGAACAGTGCTGTGTGGCCAGAGTATGTGGGAGCTATCTGATGCTGTGCTGCCCTGGGGAAGAGTGCTGATTAGAGGCTACTGCCATTATACTCTGTGCAGTTCTACCTGTGAGGGGGCCTGGATCCTGGAGAGCCCAAACTGGGGATCAGTGTTACACTTGTTGTACACATCCAATGACTGTGACCATCAGAAGACCCCTGACCATCAGGAGAGAACCACTGACTACTACTGCTGGGCAATAGCTTACAAAGTAAGAGCCTTTTGTAAACCTATGTGGAAACACCTGGAGTTCAGAGGGTGTCTACAATGGTGAGAGGCCTTTTGAGCACTGACTTTTCTTGGTTCCATGAAATAGTTCTTCACCACTGAGGTTGTCTTAACTCTTTTTTATTTGGGAAAAATCTGATACCGTGGATTACAAAGACTGTACTAGAGAGAACTCCCACCACTTGCAAGGAAGGAAAAGTGGGATTGTTGCAGTAGGATTGAAAGAGAGCGTTCACAGCAACTTCTATCCCTGTCTGACTTGAACTCCTGCTGCTGTCCATCAAATCCATTGAGGAGGGAGCATAGAGCAGGGACCGATCAATAGATATACACATCTAAGCTTGCTTCTGCTTCTGTCAGTCAAATCCTGTAAGAAAGGAGTTGGGGATGTGGCCGAGCTACGCTCTGTGTGTCTATAGATGCATGCAGCCCAGCTTTAGCACGCACCTGCACAAGTGCCTTCTCAGCACACAGCTCGGAAGTGTGCTGCACAGGGGAAGCTGCAGATATTTCTCTTCTTTCTGCCTGGTGACTATTTGATGTCTGGCTAGTGCTGGTCACCTGAATATTGCAGGGTTACTGCAAGTTTAGCCAAGTGTAAGTTGGTTTACCTCTTCTTACCTTGTAACCACAGCTGCTGCCAAAAACAGTTCAGTGAAGTCATGGCATGTCAGTCACCTACAAGGAAACTGAAAACCCCACTGCTGAATATACAGGAAATTAGCAGACCGTAGCATACCTTTGATTGCATCACGTTTTCCACTTTTCTTGACAAGTAGGGAAAAAAAGTGTCCCACTAATCCCCAGGAGGCATCAGAATAATCTTAGTAAATATATTGTTAGACATCTCCAATTACTTCTGTGCCCAACTGCCCAATTTTGCTAGGTTACACTACAAAACACACAGTTGCATAATAGGCTCACTTCTCCTACCTGTAACACCACGATAAGAAATTTTCCAAAAGTATATGGTTATTTTCAGCAAAGTGCAAGGAGATTTGAAAATGATAGGCACATGACTGCACATAAAGATATTAACTTTGTTGTATGACTCTGGTTGCATACTTGCCATAGTGCAGTAAAATTAAACCCAGTCACTTGACCTATTAGTTTTGGATAGCATGCGGAAATAATGTTAAAATGTCTGTAGGGTTTTTGTTTACTGTTTGCCCACTTTTGAAATGTACCCTTTACACCAGGCGACCATTTCCTCCAGTACAGAAAGTGATGAGAAATCCAAAAAGTTTGAGGTGTTGCAGGAACTAAACATGAGCTGAAATGTTTCTGTAAGGACACTTGTTATGGTGAGAATTGTCCATAACATTTCCCCTCATTTTGTTGTTATCTGAGGAGTACTCTTGGA